GGTAGAAATTATGAAGTCTAGAAACCAGGAGGCTCAACTTATACGGGCGGATGCGTCAGATTAAGGGCCCAAAAGTGGTTGTCCACATTGATACAAAATCCGCTAATCGAGCCTTCGCTCCACGATAGTGTTAACACAGTGTAAATATCCAGGGTGTTCGAAAAAGTGGAGACCCCTGAATAACTCCGAAAATATGCAAGATAGAAAAAATATTTCAGACAAAATGTTGTAGGGTTTCAAGTAACGCATTACGTAGGAATATCAGTATGACCTTGAATAGCGTTATCAAGGTCGCGCAAAGGTCATCTTAAATTTCTTAAATGGAACCCCCTATTGTTTATTATACTATCTCATTCTACTAATTAATATGAACAACTTTTGTCCGAAACAATTTATTCTATCTTGCATATTTTCGGAGTTATTCAGGGGTCTTCACCTTTTTTGAACACCCTGTATGTCAGAAGACCTGTTAATTATGCTGGAAGAAATAAAATGAAAAGTACAAGCTGTATATGCTCGTTTCACCTATTTATTCCCTTCCGACGTCTGATTATCAAATAGTTTGTCGATCGTAGCGCTGCCGGTGTGCATATTTTAAATTACTATAATATAGAAACCGGGTTTTACTCTTATTCTCGAGAGCACAAGTTGATCCTCCTGGTCTGTGAAAGCCGAGTCCTTGGTCAAGGAACTATTCTGGAAGCCTCCTGGTCTCTAGTCTTCACGAAACCTTCGCCGAGCGAGGAGAAACGGCGCGCGCGCGCGCCGATTCATTTTTGTCCCCGCGGTTCGCGACGAATAAATTTCAAGCTGCCGCCGAGAGAGGAGCACGATGAGTATACGACTTGTTTCCTCCGCTCCCGTTGCCAATTACCTTCGAAATGTCGCTGCTGTTGAAAATATTTCAACGGCGTTAACGCGGTGCAGTAGCCCGCTCCTCCCCGTCAGGCATTTTGTGGAGATAATGGCGTTGTCTCTCGGTCGCCGTCATTCGCGGCGGAATCGTGGCCCCTTATCACCGCCGTACGAGCGGACAAACAATGGCGGCGGACAATGGCAGCGCTCGATCGACGACAATGGATTTTGTCGTGTTCCCTAATCCGCGCCGGGACGCGCGTCGTCCGCCTCGACGATGCCGTTTCTACCCCGCGCTCGGATAGTCTCCCGCTAATTAGCGAGAATTTGTCCTCTCGTTCTTCGATACGATCCACGCGCGCGTAAGAATTTACCAAGATTTTGCGAGCGTAACTTATCCTTATCGGTGAAAACCCAGGAAAATCTCAACTTCAAATTTCTTCAAGCACTGCCTGAAAATTATATACACTCCCAGATATTTTGAATTAATATTTTTTTCTACAGGTAAATAAATTTTCTTGGTAATTTCAGCTAAATTTCAGCAATCAGTTTGAATTTAAGTAAAAGGCTAATCGTTTTGTTGTCATGAAAGTTGTTATCAGATGTAAATTGTCTTCATTGTGAGGTAGAACTTTATTAGTTGGAAAGAATAGTTCACTTTAACACGAGCATCTAAGAAAGAGAGTAGCTATACAGGGTATATTACGGTATAAGTACTAGTACGTCCACTCTGTTGTTTGTTTTGTTTTCCATCGATCGTTTCTGCACATCCGCCATTGTTTTGGTGGAGCCAATGAGACGGATGTTGTATATGTGGTAGTGTGAAATCAATGTGACAGTTTAAACACGTGTAAACTAAAATGATATTAATAATTTTATTATAAAGACAACCACAGGATACACCTGCAGTGTCAAAACCTACAAAAATACTAATGTGAATTCGAATTTTTATTTTTTCTCGCTTCCCTGAGGACAATGAAAGATATAACCTTTAATCGTTTTACATTTACAAGCCAAGAATTTTTAGTTAGAACATAATCGAAAGTAATTTTTCAATAATTTTAGGGCAAAGCAATGCAATGTATATGCTATTTTTGTATACCCCTTCTGGTTACGGCACTAATAACCAGGATCCCTTGAGCAATTGATACTGGATTTTATACCAAAATAATGGCGGAATACCACGTGATAAAAACCGAAAAGATCAAAGGACCGACAGGGAGTGGGCATATTAGTTATACTATGGAGCCACCTTAACCAGAAAATGAAAAACCAGGCCTAGCTGTTCCTATTTCAAAGTCACAGCCTTAGTTGCTATGACTATATTTTATTATAACTCTTTCGGTTTATCTTTTCTCTGTGTATACAATTATTCAGATCTTATGATTCGATGTTTTGTTTCGCGTACGCTTACATGCGAGAAATGCGATGTATACAGTAGTCTCTGCTAATCCCGCTAATCGAGAGTTAACCCTTGCTCCAGGAAATCATCCCGGAAAGCCTCAACGAGATTCCCCGCCGCCAGGGATGATCCCCTCGTTATTATACAGAGAGGGCTGAGCAGACGGTCGAATAATTCCGCTATCACCGACACCGATAGCTACGGCGTGTCATGAATTGCTCGGCCGTTTGTCTTGCGATTGTTGCGAATCGGAAAATACGGCGTCGCGTCAAACAATGAGGAGTACACGACCGTACTGCGACAAGGTTCGCCGGGATTTACACGTGTAACGAGCGAGTTCCCCGTGGATATAGTTAAAAACCAGCGCGCAAAAGTGAGCACTGCGAGGAACACGAGGAAAGAACAAGGAGTGAAAGAGAAGAGGGGAAGAGGGTAAAAAAGGGGAAGAAAAAGACAGTAAAGAGAGAGTAAAGGAGTCCAGGAGAATGGGAATCCATTAACGAGTGCCGTTTCCATACCTCCTCTATGCCGCTCTCATGCGATCGCCCCGCGCCTTTCAACCCTCTCGCCACTCGTCCTTAGCTGGCTGTATATCCTCCCCCCCTCTCACTCTCTCTTCTGTTTCTTTCTTTTTCCATCTTGTCGCCTGAAAGAGCATTCACCGGCACAATAGATCGTTCATTATCGATACCAGGACCCGAAAAGCGGGAAGATAGTAATGCGAGAAAAGGGATGGTCGGCCGAGGTGTGAGTTTCTAAGTGTGCGTACGGGACTTAATCCACGTGTAGGTGTATTTCACCCCGCAAACACGGTCGTGCGGTACTGAGAGGCAGGCGTTGAGACGGGCAGTTGATAGTTTTAGGGAAGATAGCTGGATCTTTATATTTTTTAAGAACAGCTTCAGGGCTGAAAATTACGACGAAATCGTGTCTGATACTGAGGTTAAAGTTGAAGTCGCTCGTCGTTCTTAACTGCTTCACTAAACAATTTACTATATATATGTCGCTCCTCTGCGCGAGCAAAATGACACAAGCCAAAAATAGTCGTTTTATAAAGAACGATTTTAAACGTTGAATCTGCTCACAGATTGCACACAACTACAGTCACATGATCTATTAAATTATTTTCGTTTTTTTCTTTTCTTGCCTCGATTGATCTTTCCGTGTAATGCGAGAATGTATGTTTCTTTTTATCATTCCTTCTCTTTGCTATCACTATTTTTAAACAGAGATACAACCTTCATTGATCCTCCTTTTAGACAATTTTTGCACTTTTTTGGATAAAACCATTACACTTATGATACTTTTCTAAATAAAGAGACATACGTTTTCGAGTTGATAAATTTAAAAAACTCATATTCTTTACTTGTGTTACTTTTCTCGAGTAGGATAGATATATATTTATTTAGTACATAAATATATACTTTACAGGGTGGCCCCGAACATTTCGGCCAGACTTACAATAGAGATTCGATAAGAAATTTATTTCTGACCATAAAGTTTCCTATAAACATGGGTCAAAAAATGCTTCCTTGAAAAGTTAGCGCCCAAAAACTGTTGAAATCACGGTTATTTTATACATTTTTGCAAATATCAAAAAGTATGCATTTTTAAATAAAAACTACCGAAACGAAAGTTGAGCAAGAGGTAAAAAGAAAATGAAATAAAAAAGAAATAATACTTAATAAATTTCTTGAAGAAAATAAAAATAAAATTGATCTCATTAAAAATGATAATTGAAATCTCTACAACTAAGATAATGAAAAATATCTCAATCTTTGAGTATATAGACATTGAGGAGGAATGGTAGCACCGTATGTGTGTCCAAAGTATGTGCGAGAGAGAAGGATATTGATACTCGTCCTCTCTGCACATGCTCTGCGCACATTGAATCTGTTACTTTCATTGGCTTACAGCTTAGGACGTCATCATTTCTCCCTAATTACGTTATTCTTTGCGTTATATTTCCGAAGATAGACGAACACCACCGGACTCATAACGAAGCATGGAGAATATGATTTACGAAACTGATGCGTTACGAGGTAACGCATTACCAAAGTTATAATGCAAGAAGTTATAGAATAGGACGCCAGGACGACGACGACGACAAAGACGTTTCTTAAAGATTGAAATTTCACAAATTGGACTTTGCATTGCAATATCTCCACTCATGGGGCACGTAGGAGAAATATAAAAACACTTTTATTATGCAAATCGTACCCAAGCTATCGATTGAGCGCACTTAGCAGTTTGTCGGATCAGCCGTTGTTGAGATCCGAAAATCTGAGGGCCCGTCAACTCGCGTACTCGCGTAAATTACACACGGTTGGTCTCGCGCGCGCGGTTCTAGCTATGATTATACTTTATAGCGCGAGATACTGCCGTGTTCCGTGATTCAGCAATTTTAAATGTCACTTGTCTAAAGACATGTTTAAACATATTTGCAATGGATATTCTCGAAAGAATAACTTTTGGTAAAATAAACTGAAATGTCACGTACGTAAATAAAACAGTATTACCTTTATGTTTTTTACAGTTTCAACGAAATAGTATGAGATTTATAAGACATTTTTGGATAATTAATTTTTATAGTTTTTGTTATGACCAAAAATATTTGGATACTTTGTCGATAATTTATAATTAACTTCTTTCCTGAGCATGTTTGAAATTGAAAACCTTTTTCAGTCGTGCCGTGGTTTTTCTCAAGTTCTCGGGTGATAATTTTGGTTTTTGTCCATTCCAGTGATGTGTTAGGACTGTAAAGAGGATTCGGAAGTGACGGAATTAGCGGACATTAACGGACATTCGACCATCGATGGCGGCCGCGAGTTTTCCTCCAAACTTCTCGAACGTTGGTGTATTAGAGACTTGGTAAGTATACTTCTATCCTAATTGCTAGAAATTGAATTTGCCTCTGCGAAAAATGAGAAGCTGGGATCTTGTTTCGTCATCATGCTCCAAATCAATAGATTAAGCTATTATTTAACACTTGTAAAACTAATCTTACAATACTGAGCTTTGTATATTTATAGACTCTTGTGCTAAGACTTACTTATGCAACGGCAATCTATTGAGATAAATGGTCATAAATAATTAGTGTAAATCCGAGAACAAATTATTGATGATTTTCAGATTAACTTGCTGTTTAAGTCCCCTTTGGCTGCTTATCGTTTAACAAAAAGACCAAAGTTACTGCGAATGATAAATTTACGTCAGACCGTGGAGTTTGTCGGTAAATTATTGCTTACTCGGTAATACTAATTTTAGAAGTGTACATATTTCTATTCGAATACGTCGCGACCATATTAAAGATACTGTAATTGGTTTTAATGCATGAGAACTCAGCTTTAATCGCAAATAGATCAGGCTTTTGTTATGTCTGCATGTCAGTAATGCGTTAATTTATACTTCCTGTCTCAAGCTGTTTTACGATCATTGTACACACGGTGCACGATATACACATTGTAAGAAGATATGTTCGCATTTACGATAAGATCTCGATGGTATCGATCCGTTCAACCAATTTAACGAAATTATCTTGTGTGCACTTTTCCCCGCTATTGAATATTTTTTTCACAGAGGACAGTAAATAAATCATGAACTGTTTCTACATGCAAAAGCAGTGTTTGTAATGATCTAACGAACCATTTCTGAAATATTGCTAAGGACGTTGGAAGAGCATTAATCATCATATATTGCACCGTTTAACTATCTTGATGGCGGCCGAGTTTGGAAAATGAAAATCTCACCGAAGCGAGATTTACTCAATTCAACCGAGAAACAAAATTCTGTCACCTAATTACGCAACCCTCGAGTTTAAATCGCGAGAATTTCCTTGATTCTCAATAATGTCGTCTCAATCTTAATCAAGGAGTTTCGCGCACGTTAGTTGCAAATCATCTCGCGTAGCCGAGCGAATCGAGATCCGGTATGATATTCGGACGTCGCCGGGCACAATAAAGTGGCTTAGACAATGCAGCATTGTTGTATACACGTTTCGAGATATCTTGCACGGAAGGTCAGACGCTGTATTATCGTCCGCCCGTCACGAACGGAATGGAATGGCTGTGGCAGCGCGACGGCGCGGCGGCGGCGGCGAAAAGACGATGAAAAGTAGGTTTCTTCTATTTTCCAGTTTTGATTAAAGTTCCTGCAAGAAAGAGCGAAACATAACGAATCTTCATGCGCGCGCATGAAGTGTATAACGTAACGGGTGAAAACTCGTGCGCCACGCATGCCTCTCGTGTTCCTTTCTCCCTGACATTTCCGTTACGGTTCTCTCTAGCCGAAAGGGAAACCGGGAGGTCCGTGTATTCGCGATTAGACCTTTCTGCTAGCACGCCCTTTGTTCCTGACCCGCGAGCCTTACTCGCCAAAGATCGAAGAAGGAGAATAGTAATCAGAAAGAACCTTTGTAGCGGAGCGCTACCAGCGCGAGTGGTTTTCTCGGGAAAACCGTGCGTCCCGATACACTCGCAAAAATATCTTACTAACTCAGGTATTTCTAGGTGTCGCAACCAAAATTTATTGCTATTTTTTATATCTGTTAGAAAATTGTTTGTATTATAACCTGCGAAATTTATAGCAGCAACATTCTATTGCAGTAAAGGCTGGTTTATGCAATGCTGTAACCGTTAACTTATGCTGGAATTGGTAAAAATTAACCAATTACAGTCAACTATTCCCCTCACTTTTAACGGAAATTGGACAATTTTTACCGAACAGTTATGGTCTTTCATAAACCAACCTTAATACTTTCTGGAAAGTTTAGGTTTCATGACTAAATATTATATTAACCATTCACATTGGATAAAAGTGAATTTTGATACCATAGCTAGAACAATCTTTGTAAGGAATATAACTGCTTATGTACAGTCTCATTCATTAATGCTTGGACCTCAGTTTTACTAGCATTAACATTTTCATAATCTTTATTCCCATCTATACATCGACGAGTTTCAGGTTGTAGTTCACACAACTTCTATAGAAATCTGTGGTAGTACATACGTACAGTCTGCAACTCAGTGATTTGTATAGATAAGAAATATGATGATAAAAATGCAGGTCTAGGCATTAATAAATACAATAAGACTGTACACACAGCGTCATTAATGCCTAGCCATCTGAAGTTGCGCGCGGATCGAGTTTGAAAAGCGTGCGACTTTCTAACTCTTCATGTATCGTGACATTGAAACCGGCAATGCTGATTCGCTGTTTCCATAGTCATGATGCACGAAGAGTTAGAAAGTCGCATGTCTCAATCCGCGTGCAACTTCAGACGGCTGGGCATTAAGGGGATGCTGGAGTGATTCTGCACTTTTGCACCTTTCTAACCTAGAAACTATCAGTTTGCGGAAACACTTGTGTAATATACAAATTAAATGACTTACGTGTACAGATCGAAAGCAGCTTACTATTCCGACTAAATGAAAGAACAATATATGGCATCACTGAAACTAAGTTTGTAAGTCTAATAAGAAATAATAGTGAGCAACACACACATACAGTACATGTGGTATGTGTGTTGTTCACTATTATTTTTTATTAGACTAAAGGCCTTTGCACGTAAAAAAGTGTTAATCGTAACCGCAATTTTAGTCCGTGCAACCCAACTAAAATTCCGTAACCTACGGAATATTACTTGGGTTGTTCCATCTGTCTGCACGCGTTGAAAACTACGATTACGGACTAAAATTACGGTTACGGTTAATACTTTTTTACGTGCAAAGGCCTTTACAAACTTGGTTTCAGTGATGTCATATTGTTCTTTAACTTAGCCGGAATAGCAAGCTGCTTTCGATCATCTGTACACGTGCCATTTAATTTGTGTATTACAAAAATCTTTCCACGAAACAGACAATTTTAAGTGCAAAAGGTGCGAAAGTGCAGAATCACTCCAGCATCCCCTTAATGACGCCGTGTATGCTAGAGCTACTGGATAAAGGTGAGCTGACTCGTCCGCCATCTTGGAGCCCAAACGTTTGACTTCGACAAATGCATTTCGGCACAAGATATGAATTTTTTGTTCTAAATTTATTGTTAATAAAATCCAAATTACGTTTTTGTTTTTGGAAAGCTATATTTTTAATTAATTATTAAAGCTATATTATTAATTTAATTTGTAAATAAATAAAAATATAGCTTTCCAAAAACAAAGACGTAATTTGAATTTTATTAACAATTAATTTAGAACAAGAAATTCATATCTTGTGCCGAAATGCATTTGTTAAAGTCAAACGTTTGGGCTCCAAGATGGCGGACGAGTGTATGCCATAATCAAACGTTATAATCGAGGGGGAAACCGCTGACCAAAATCCTGTACACCAATGCCAACTAATGCCCAGTGGACATTACTTTATTTTATTATCTTATTTTATCTTTATAATGGCCCAGCAAGGCCTAATGCCCAAACTAATGCCCAAAAAATGCCTAGTAATGTCGCAAATCTGTACACTGTACACCCTCAGCGGTTTCCCCCTCGGTTATTATGGATGGACGCTACAGAAAGACTTTCTTCCTAACATTCGCTAGCGGTTGAGATAGAAATTCTGTTTCTGTTATTTAAATTGAACAAATACAAAACATACGCGGTTTCGCAGTGTTGGCTATTCATTTATATATCCCGGTTCTTTTTTCTTGCCTGGAAAATTGTTGCCGCACAGTTGCAAGATCATTCTTTTCAGTGATACGTGTCGACCCGCTCGGGAGATGAATTACCACCATCTACGTGACTGCTGATTACCTACCGGGGGCCGTAAATGGGAGGCACCGATATTACATGTCACGTTACGCTCCGTAAGCGAAACGCAATTCGGAATGCCGAAATAGTTGAGAAGTCGCGCGTGGTTTAATCGTACGTGAATTTGTAATATCCGGACACGCATGCGTGCGTATGCACGCGCGCGCGTATGTGTGTCGCGGGACACTTGAACGATATTTATAACCGTATATGTGCGACGAACCGCTTCGTAACGCTTTTCATTATAGCGATTAAATCCGCCGCATCGATCCCTCGAATGTCGATTAGCGGCATTAGCGCGGAGAAGGATTATATCGTTCACCGCGACTGATTCGCACCGGATTCAGCCGCCTCGGCGATCTCTTCCGTTAAAAGAATTTAATAATGGATAGACTCTGCACGGCGCAACGAGCATAAAACGTTATATTTATCATTCGAAATCGAACGTCGCGTTGCGAATGCGTGCTCCGATTATTCGTACTTTCCGAGATGAATACCCGAAAGGATATATCCTTTTTCTCCTTTTATTATATTTTTAATTTTGACCCGCGCGCCGCGACGTGTTTCGCGCGGTTGTAATTGTACCTCGAGTCGCATCGACTCGGCCCTGTTTCGAAACACGAGGACTCGTTTGCGAACATTCCTCAGGCTTTGGGCATTAGTCTATTCGCGGACGTGTTTTTCGCAGTTGGCATATTTGGCATTTCGGCGCTTCCTCGTTACGCGCGCGGCCTCACCTACGTGCGTACGTAGGTAACGAGAGGATGTTAAATGAGGCGAGCAGCGCGGGCGCGATTCATTCTCATTGTGCTTTGTTGAGGGAGGGAGAACACGTATTTTCGGATGGTCCATTGAGAAAGGAAGGCGGCCCCGCGCGCTCGCCGACAGCCGCGCGTCGACGGGGGGGTTCCTTTGCGGTTGACGCGACTTAGAAGCTCGCGCGTGTGCCATGTGAGAGCGACGGGCAGGTGCTAGGTCGCCCACGCGGCGTATATTGGTCGACGAGATAGAGTGGGTGGCGGCCACAATTAGCCGACGTTAGCGCGCGCGTACGTCATAAATTGATATTACGCCAGCGGCGGACGTGTCGCGCGTATCCTCGCGTCGTGACAAACCGTTCGGATTTTTGCTA